ACTTACCAGACGATTTTACTGCCTCGACAAAAATCAAGCTTAAAGTCATTTCCAAGCCGTCAGTTCCTGTACAATTAAACTTTAACTAGGAGACAAAGTCACATTCCAGTAAACAAGCTACTTTAATTTAAAGGCTAGCTCAGGCAGCGGGATGTTGGTTGTAGACAAAACGAATCAAATTAAAGAAGTTCAGCCATTTGAAAGTTATCTGATTCCAAACCCTCACAGTGCACGACTCAAATACTATAATGATGTTGTATCTGTTTTATACACTGAGTGTTTTACAGATTTTTCTTCAAAGGAACGATTCCAACATTACTTAATTGCTGAAAGAAGGTGGAGATTTGAAATAGAAAGTGATATAAACTCTTTGGCTTCAAAACTGGATGAAATTAAGAGCAATTCAGCAAACTCAGATAGTGGTCATTTGTACAACATTCAAAGGTTACAGTCTATTCCACATGATACCAATTCTGAAGATGTTTTTCGGTGTGAAAGAGCTATAGGTGCCTTGGAGAAATGATGAATTCCTCTCAAGATATTACAAACAGACTGTCGGAGAAAAGGAAAAATTGTTATCTTCCCTCCCTTGATTTAGTTCCAGGGGGAAAGAGCACAGTAAGGTATGTTGAGGTAAAGCTTCAAGCCTTAGAGGAAATAATTAAGGGAACACTTTTTCACATGCTGGACAATGTCAATACCGTATTTCTTGCCTTACGTAGAAGATATGACCAAAATACTTACACAAAGGCTGAAGAAGTGAGAAGGAGGAGAAGAATGAAAGAACAAAAAGAAAGAACAAGACCAAGAAGCGGAAAGTATTGTCAAGGCAGGCTAAAGAGGTGTGTAAACTTTTTACTGGGAATGAAGAAATAGATATCACTCAAAAAAGCCAGTATTCCTGTGATTGACAGTAATAACCTCAACAGAGAAGCACTTCACACTAAACTGAGAAAGAGATTTCACCTAGAGCCTCTCAAACAGCTTATAGAGCAAGGATATATCAGTGACTGTGTTATAATTGAGATAAGACAAGCCATCGAAAGGTGAGAGGCCGACAGGACCGCTTCAAGGAAGAAAGAAGATAATCAGCCAAAGCTTACTGCTTTTTATATGAGCAATACATGCTCTAATAGCAAAAAACTTGACGGTGACACAGACAGTGAGTCCACATCAACCTCATCTACAAATAATAATTCGGATAGTGAGATTGCATAACGTGACTTTATGCATGTAATCATTTGTTAAAATGCCGATGAAGTTGTTTCAGTGTTACACAATAGTGGATGTTGTACTGATGCACCTGCTACTTGAGCATTAAATCTTTTCGTAAAAATGCTGATTAAATTGTTTTAGTATTACACAATATAGGACTTTGTGTAAAACTGAATCAAAATCAGGTCCTTTAATACTCAAACATCATGCTGCTCAGTAGGGATCCTACTTAAAAGAAACTTGAAGACCCCCCCCCAAGGTCATCTTTTGGCATTTTAAGGCCCCCCCATATTCCATCCAAAAAAAATTGAAGGCCCCCAATTTCTCCTCCTCCCCCCTCCAACTTAAATTATGACTGGTCCCTAACATTAAATAAAGACTCCCTATTTTTCTGAAATTAAAAGCCTGCTCTATATAAACACTTCTTATTGCCTACTGTTTGAAAAAAAGGAATTTCTTAAACCGTTAGTTTTAAAAACGCTTTCGCACGGAATGAGTGAAAACCACATATAACAGATATAGCGTCGGTCGATAGACGGCCTGTTTGGAACATTATTTAACCACAATTTTAGGTTTTATTTTATTTTATTTTCCTTTTTTTTTTCTTTTCATCTTAGTATTTCGAAGCAGTCTTTCGTAGCCAAGCTTAAAATCTAAATGACGTTACTGGCCCCCAATAGCGCTACTTACGTACGTATGTATCCCGTAATATTAACATATTCTTGTAAACGATATGACAGCCTATATCTATTAAAGGTGAATCTATAAAAGGTGAATCTTTTCAAAAAAAGTAAACGCATATAAAATAGAATAAGAGAAAGACGCTAGAGGTGGGGGGGTTCCGAGCCAGCCCCTATTGGTACCGCGGTGGAGGTGCGAGTTTGGGTGTACGTCTGAGGGTTATAATAAGACCATCGTGTGCGATCAAGCACTGTTCATGCGCGCAGAAGTTCAAACAGAATTATTTAATTCAAGGTAAATACAATAATTACTGGCGTTTGAAGTAAAATGAGCGGATCATTGCGTGAGATTAAACTCTCACAGTGTTCAAGCAAGCAGAAAAGCAAACAACTCAAGCTAGATAATGTCGTGTGAGAACTGATAGAACTTGAACTTGATAGATAGATAGACACTTCATTAAAATACGTCGCAGCCGTATATGGCTCAATTGTGTATTACATATAAAATTTAAAATGGATTAAAATATAAAAATGGATAAAATGATAAAGGTATAAATACGCTTAACAATCAGATTTAAGTTGAAAAAGGTACAGTTACCACCTAAGCTACGATTTAAAACACTTATGATCTACAGTAAAATTCAAGACATATCAGTGTTGACACAAAGCCATTGAAAAATTATTCTTGAACCTATTGGTAGACCACGGGGACGGGTATAGGCGCCTTAGGTCGAATTCACGTGGAACAGAAACACTGGCGGCGAAACTTTTTCTCAGTTCATGCTGGCTATCGATCACTAACTATTCACATACAAGTGCGCTGAACTGGTTCTTCCTTTTTTTTTTTTTGCAAATGCGTTTTAGTGAATTGACACTTATTCAGTAGCAGTGTATCTTTTTTAAATTGTTCCTAACGGATTCCATATCATATAAAAGTACGAATTTAATTGGGCTTTTATTCTTAAACGATAGAGAACACCTTCACAGCGTGCAATTGTACTTTGTGATTACGGGAAAAATCTTCGCAGGTGTAATCTTTTTTTATCGCACGAGAATTGTAAGTTGGAGCTTCCTATATTTGAAAAGGTGTATTTAGCATAAGCCAAGCCGTGGCTACAAGTAAACATGTACGCATATGCGTTCCTGAAAAAAAAAGCGAATGTTTATTGTTCGAAGCAAAAGGCACAATTTGTTTACAAACTGAACGTAGATTTCCTCGTAAAAGCCACACGATTATTAAACTAAATATTAAGGCTTAAAAGATAAAATACTAGGGGGCGAAAGACTAGTCCATATTTTCTTAAGCCAACTTTTTGGTTTAAGTTAGGTAAATAAAACTGGGTAAGCGATCATGAAAATTTTCAACTGCTACATTAAATAGTATCTACAGTATTAACCAGTTCTTTGATCACCTCTCAAAAGCCTTGTTGGACTAAAGAAGGCGGCTCTTCTTTATTAACGGAGCTAACCATTCTAAATCTGAAATCAGTGCTTAACCGTAATCGCTATACATCAGTACAAACCATAATCGCTGCACTATTTTCTCTCTTAGCTTCTCTTTGGAGTTTGTAGTAATGAAAGCTAACCCGGCGTTCTAAATCTGTGTTTAACCAGAAGTACTAAACATCAGTGCGAGCCATAACCGCAGCTCTATTTTTTTTAAGCTTCCCTTGTTCTTATTTTTTCCGCTAAATAAGCTTTTCTTCTCGTTAGTAAGCGAGAAGAGCTTTTGAGCTACCTTTGTAAATGGGTAATATGTGAATCAACCTTGGGGAGAGCGTTAGGTGACAAGCGTTTTCACAGATGGAACGAGAAATTGTAAGTTCAATGAGGACAAGAGTGCATAAAGTGTAGTCACGATAGTACGACAGACAACTTCTAGTAAGACCCTTTAAGGCCTGGTTTAAAGCATTGCTTTTCGCATATTTCCGCCCTCTTTCTTTAATATCAGCCAATATTTCATTCAATCGAAAAATGATGTAATTAGTTTGCAGTTCTTGCATTAATAGTTTTTAGATGATTTTTCGAGTTTGATGCATAAAAATTAATGCGTGTTATTTAAAATTTTGGAAAATTGGAGAATATTGGATTTGGGGGGTTGTTAAAAATTAAACTGTGAAGTGAATAATATGCAGACAAATACTAGATAGTCCACCTCCAAAACAAGGTGCCTCTGATCCCATCAGCGGAATGCCTGGTAATGTGAGTGACGAATCTTTAGTAGATATGGATTTTCTCGCCTTCGTATTTTGTGTAAAACCGGAAACATTTGTGAATCAGGTAAAATCTCCTGAATCTTATCTAGTGTATGTAAACGTAGCCAAATTTGTTGACTCTAAGACCTAGACCAAGCGTCGAACTTTTCATGAGACGAACCAAACTCTAATTTGAGTCGACCTAAATTAAGTTAAGATCGTTCAGTGTTGGGTCAGACGTCAAACTTAGGACGCGTCGAACCAACCAACTGAATCAGAAAAAAAACAATTTTAATTAATTTTTTCCTGAACCAGGCTAAATATACATTATCAAACAAATTTTTTAATTTGTAGGTTAGACAGATAGAACGTGTTGGAGGATCCAAACTCTCATTTAGACGAACTCAACCAAGCCAGACGTCGAACTTTTCATTAACTTAATATAACTCCATAAGCCAGGTTTGTCTCGTGAAATGTTCATGTAAATGTTCGACTTTTGGCCCAGGTCTAAAAGTAACAGTGTTTCACTTTAAAACCGCCATGCTGTTCTAAATGTTTTTCTTTAAATTAAACTGCTTTTTTATTTAGTGCACAAAGCTAGTCATTGTTGTTTGTGGTAAAAGGTGCTCAATTTGACCGGGATAATTTTAAAGTTATCCATCTCCCCTAGTGGCAAGATTGTTCTCTATTTTTCCGTTGTTGTTGTTGTTGTTTTTTTTACTAAGCGGTACATGCGGGGAAAGCAAAACATGGGAAGCGCGAAGCAAACGAGGTCTAAACAACATGGCGCCATGCTATAAGAGTAAAAAAATGGTAGACAAATATCAGTATACAACATTCCGGTTCAAAAGGAAGTTTAATGATTTTCTTTCCAAGCAAACTACATGAGCTAAATCGTCTAAATTGTCAAGTGGCGCTTTCTTTGCACAGCTATAAATGAAGGTTGTCTTTTTCGATCCCCACTGACGGCTCACGCCACATTTTTAGCTGAACCAGAGTCTTGGCGTTCTCACTCACATACGTAGCGAACCTGTTGAATTCAGCGGACATAAGTAAGTGTCATCAACACAAGAAATCAAGGCTTGCTGCCATCAAGCTTTTAACGGTATCCATTCCAACAGTCCAAAAGGGATTAAAATCGAGAAAGGACGGCATATTCAATAACCAGTAACATGTACAACTGATAGAAATCAGCGAGAATACAGGGGAGGGGTGCGGGAGGCGGGAAAAGGAAGGGTACCAGGGAGGTGGGGATTCTCAAAGGGAGAGAAGGGGAAGAAATTGGAGGAAATTAGGCAACATCGCTTAATACTTCACAATAGAAAAAGGGCTGAAGTGGCCAGGAAAGTCAAGAAAAAAAGGAGGCGGAAACTGCAAATACAAGGCAAATGCGGCGGGAAGATGGACCCTCTTTCGGTTTTGTGCCTGGGGTTTCTCTATACGTCCCCTTTTTCCCCTTTTACTCATGAGGCTTCGACTCCTTCTATTCTTCTTCTGTGATGAACTTGACAATGAAAAGGAAAAAAAGCAATCCCTTTGGAACCAGGCTAAATAAAAGCTAGGCTGACAAAAGTTGTTACCTCTAGATATTTGTAAGTTCCAGGGCAAGGACCACCAAACTCGCTGTTGGTTGCCCGTAATGTGCACTGTGAACGTCCCTGACAGTGACCTTGAACTTTGGCAAGTGCTCCATTAGCTTTGCAGGTAGTGGTCTTTATTGCTCCCCAGCCACAGACTTGAGCTCCAGTCAAACGACCGTAGTTTGCAGAAAGGATATTGATCTTCTTGCTATGATGAGCGCAAGAGAGTGTATGTGAATCGCCTTCACAGAATTGCAGCTGCATCTCTCTCGGACAAGCTGCACCTGAAATATGTATAATAAACAATTTATGGACGAGGGAGAGCAAAATATTGCGATTTATCAAATAACCGCTGATATACTAGACAAACGAGGCTTGGTTCACACTGTACCTTATCGCGCATGAGCAGAGCATTGTCTGCAGCAGAACAATTAAGAAAAATAGCTTTCGTTTTCTCGATTGCATAATATTAGCAAGAGATTGTCTGAATACACACGCCCTTCCGTTGTCGTCCATAAAACGCACCCTTAATGTCTGTGACTTTTCACTGGTCTATTGACAGATTCCCACCTTGTCAAAGTCGTTGAAAATGTCCATCTGGATGAAAATCGGAGTCGTTCAGTTATCTCAAGTTTATGTTTATGGTCCCATTTTCATTTATGTAGAGAAATTTGACCACCTCCCCCACCTCCTACCCCACCTTATTATCTTAAATAAAATGTAGGAAAATTATTTACCCGCATCACCAAATAAGCCTGGAATGAGAAACAAAACCAATATCCGCAACATGGTTCCCTTTTTTGCTGTAGTAGAGTCACTCTGTAAAGGACAAGAAAAACCAGTAGTTCACGAGAGTTCACTCATACTTATATGGGCCTCAGCCCTTCCCGGGTGAGTGTGTTATATATTAAAGGATATTTTGCCTTTGCTAGCTGCGCGATTCACCTCTCAAAGAGTTTAAATTTTTCCTTTTTTTTTTTTTTTTCTTGAAAGAGAACGCGAATTCATCATACCTGGGATCAATCTTAGCAGCTGGGCACAGAACCTTATATAAAAACAGTAACAGAATATAATGTACAACACCTTATATATTTCACTGCACCAAAATTACCCTATTTTAGTTGCTGTGTCACTAAATAACGCAATTTAATTGAAATAGCTCATTACTAAAAGTCCTTCTTACGAACGCCTTCGTTAACACTTAAAAATTATGTAAAAAGTTTTTGTTGTCTTTTGTGTATGACTTACAGAAGGCTTTCCTAAGATACTTACAGAAGGCTTGTGTAAGACTCTTTATACAAGGCTTGTGTAAGTATCTAACACTTGTATGAAGAGTCCTTACAAAAGTCTTGTGTAAGGGTGCTTACACAAGGCTTGTGTAAGAGTCCTTACAGAAGGCTTGTGTAGCTGAGATACTTACAGAAGGCTTGTGTAAGAGTCCTTACAGAAGGCTTGTGTTAGATACTTACAGAAGGCTTGTGTAAGTATCTTACAGAAGGCTTGTGTAAGAGTCTTACAAAACGCCGAAGAAGGCTTACAGAAGGCTTGTGTACGAGTCTTTACACAAGGCTTGCTACAGAAGGCTTATTTGAGATACTTTTAAGATTCATTACTGACGGTTTGTGTAAGAAAGGCTTGTGAATCGCTTAGGGTATTCTTTAAAGACTTGTGAGACTCGTTATACCATGTACAAATGCCTTTGGTATCCATCTTTAAAACCGTTTTTCTACGCCAGTAAAGTAATTGACATTGGGGTTTTTGCGATTGTAGTGATAAATGCCACTTGCAGAGCAAGGAGCTGTAGGCGATGATTTGTCAACGATCATTGTTCGCTCCGTCTGAAAGAGTCTTCCTTTTCTTCGTTGACTTTTTTGAGAACCTCCCAAGATAATGATGATTTAGTCGTTTTTTGAATCCTCCCATGCTACCCACAACATTAATGATACGATAATTAATGATAACTAACTAATCTGTAGGTTGCCGTTACTGATGCTACGACTAGCATGAGAAGTGTTAGGAAAACGAAAGCGGTCCTCATGATTAAATCTCGAAGATCAGGTCTAGATAAAAGAAACGCAAAATGTCATTATTAACTAAAAGAGGGTACCACAAAATTATTAAGGACTTGGTAATGTGCCTCCCTTTGCTATATCAAAAGGGTGAGTTTAGCTTTTAGTATTAAAAAAGCAGTTACCTGGTTGGAATGAGGCAACTCACTGAAATAGTGTTGATGGAATTCCGTCCACGAACAGAATGGTGTCTTATCTATGAGTCACATGTCTTATAAAGATTTCGTGATCAAGGGCGTGGGAAGCTGTACGCACGTGCGCACGTCGTATCTGATTCCTGGTACTTCAGGATGGGCACTGCTGTTTAAATATCTCTCACACTGGAAGTTTGTTAAATGGGAAAAAGAGCAGAGAATAAAACAAAATGGTTACTGGTGTTTGCAGTGAAATGACAGGATCATCCGCGACTCGTCTGTTCAAGCAGGCAGAAAGGCAAACAACTCAAGCTAGACAAAGTTATGTGAGAACTGTTTTTATTTTTGCCAATCTTAGCGCATTATCACGTATTCAGAAGCAGTTCAAGTTTTAGTTTTTATTTGCTTCGTACCGTTTTTATAAACTGGAAAGTAACATACAATGGTGCGAAATTCCTCGGAATCTTGTTATTAAGCGGTAGAGAATACTTTAACGTTTAATTGTACCTTGTGATTATATTTGAGGGAAATCTTCGTGGGACCAAACTTTCTTTATCGCTTTGGAATAACTGAGATGAACTTTAATTAACAGTTGTATGTGCATTTTGTAAGCAGGGCCGTAGTTAATTACCTGAGGTACCCACGTACGCCTCCTAAAACTAGGGAGAAGGGTAATAAGACCCAAACCAAACGATGGTTTGATCATAGTTGAAAAAGTAAAATCGTTAATAGTTATGTAACTGTTATCAACCAACAGCTTGATTCGAATTAAGGTATACCCAGATTAGCTACCACGTAGATTTTCATCTATAAAATTAAATAAAGACTCCCTATTTTTCTGAAATTAAAAGCCTTGTTAAACTGGAGAAGAAGGCGGCTGCTCTATATAAACACTTCTTATTGCCTACTGTTTGAAAAAAAAAAAGGAATTTCTTAAACCGTTAGTTTTAAAAACGCTTTCGCACGGAATGAGTGAAAACCACATATAACAGATATAGCGTCGGTCGATAGACGGCCTGTTTGGAACATTATTTAACCACAATTTTAGGTTTTATTTTATTTTATTTTCCATTTTTTTTTTCTTTTCATCTTAGTATTTCGAAGCAGTATTTCGTAGCCAAGCTTAAAATCTAAATGACGTTACCGGCCCCCAGTAGCGCTACTTACGTACGTATGTATCCCGTAATATTAACATATTCTTGTTAACGATATCACAGCCTATATCTATTAAAGGTGAATCTTTCAAAAAAAAAAAGTAAACGCATATAAAATAGAATAAGAGAAAGACGCTAGAGGTGGGGGGTTCCGAGCCAGCCCGCTATTGGTACCGCGGTGGAGGTGCGAGTTTGGGTGTACGTCTAAGGGTTATAATAAGACCATCGTGTGCGATCAAGCACTGTTCATGCGCGCAGGAAGTTCAAACATAATTATTTAACTCAAGGTAAATACGATAATTACTGGCGTTTGAAGTAAAATGAGCGTATCATTGCGTGAGATTAAACACTCACAGTGTTCAAGCAAGCAGAAAAGCAAACAACTCAAGCTAGACAATGTCGTGTGAGAACTGAAAGAACTTGAACTTGATTGATAGATAGATAGACACTTTATTAAAATACGTCGCAGCCGTGTATGGCTGAATTGTGTATTACATATAAAATTTAAAATGGATTAAAATATAAAAATGGATTAAAAAATAGAGGTATAAATACGCTTAAAAATAAGATTTAAGTTAAAAAAGGTACAGTTACCACCTAAGCTACAATTTGAAACACTTATGATCTACAATAAAATTCAAGACATATCAGTGTTGATATAAAGCCATTAAAAAATTATTCTTGATCCTATTGGTAGGCCACTGGGACGGGTGTAGGCGCCTTAGGTCGAATTCACGTGGAACAGAAACACTGGCGGCGAAACTTTTTTCTCAGTTCATGCAGGGTATCGATCACTAACTATTCACATACAAGTGCGCTGAACTGGTTCTTCCTTTTTTTTTTGCAAATGCGTTAGTGAATTGACATGTATTGATCAGTAGCAGTGTATCTTTTTAAATTGTTCCTAACGGATTGCATATCATATAAAAGTACGAATTTAATTGGGCTTTTATTCTTAAACGATAGAGAACACCTTCACAGCGTGCAATTGTACTTTGTGATTACGGGAAAAATCTTCGCAGATGCAATCTTTTTTTTATCGCACTAGAATTGTAAGTTGGAGCTTCCTATATTTGAAAAGGTGTATTTAGCATAAGCCAAGCCGTGGCTACAAGTAAACATGTACGCATAAGCGTTCCTGAAAAAAGAGCGAATGTTTATTCTTCGAAGCAAAAAGCACAATTTGTTTACAAACTGACCGTAGATTTCCTCGTAAAAGCCACACGATTATTAAACTAAAGATAAAATACTAGGGGGCGAAAGACTAGTCCATATTTTCTTAAGCCAACTTCTTGTTATAAGTTAGGTAAATAAAACTGGGTAAGCGATCATGAAAATTTTCAACTGCTACATTAAATAATAGTATCTACAGTATTAACCAGTTCTTTGATCACCTCTCAAAAGCCTTGTTGGACTAAAGAAGGCGGCTCTTCTTTATTAACGGAGCTAACCATTCTAAATCTGAAATCAGTGCTTAACCGTAATCGCTATACATCAGTACAAACCATAATCGCTGCACTATTTTCTCTCTTAGCTTCTCTTTGGAGTTTGTAGTAATGAAAGCTAACCCGGCGTTCTAAATCTGTGTTTAACCAGAAGTACTAAACATCAGTGCGAGCCATAATCGCAGCTCTATTTTTTTTAAGCTTCCCTTTTTCTTATTTTTCCACTGAATAAGCTTTTCTTCTCGTTAGTAAGCGAGAAGAGCTTTTGAGCTACCTTTGGAAATGGGTAATATGTGAATCAACCTTGGGGAGAGCGTTAGGTGACAAGCGTTTTCACAGATGGGACGAGAAATTGTAAGTTCAATGAAGACAAGAGTACATAGAGTGTAGTGACGATAACACGACAGACAACTTCTAGTAAGACCCTTTAAGCACTGGTTTAAAGCATTGCTTTTCGCATATTTCCGCCCTTTTTCTTAGATATCAGCCAATATTTCATTCAGTCGAAAAATGATTCATTGCCAATTAGTTTTCAGTTCTTGGATTAATAGTTTTTAGATGATATTTCGAGTTTGAAGTATAAAAATTAATGGGTGTTATTTAAAATTTTGGAAAATTGGAAAATATTGGATTTGGGGGGTTGTTAAAAATTAAACTGTGAAGTGAATAATAACCAGACAAATACCGGATAGTCCAGCGGAATGCCTGGTAATGTGAGTGAGGAATCTTTAGTAGATATGGACGTATTCTCGGATTCGTATTTTGTGTGAAACCGAAAAAATTAATGAATCAGGTAAAATCTCCTTAATTTTATCTAGTGAATGTAAACGTAGCCAAATTTGTTGACTCTAAGGACTGGACCAAACGTCGAACTTTTCATGAGACGAACCAAACTCTAATTTTTTTGAGTCGACCTAAATTAAGTTAAGATCGTTTGTCTGGTCAGACGTCAAACTTAGGACGGGTCGAACCAGACGGATAGAATGTGTTGGAGGATCCAAACTCTTAATGGGACAAACTCAACCGAGCCTGGCAGACGTGGAACTTTTCATGAACTTAACGTACTAAGCTTGGTTCGTCTCGTGAAAAGTTCGACGTCTGGCCCTAGGCCTAAAAGTAACAGTATTTCACTTTAAAACAGTTTAAAACCGCCATTCAGTTCAAAACGTTTTTATTTAGTGAACAAAGCTGGTACGTTGTTTGTGGCAAAAAGTGCTGAAATTTGACCAGGATAATTTAAAAGTTATCCATCTCCCTTAAGCTGGCAAGATTGTTCTCTACTTTCCCTTTTTTTTCTCAGCGGGACACGCAGGCGAGGAAAGCAAAAATCATAGCCTGTATAAATAACAATTATTCCTCGAGCGAACGGGCTCTGAGTCAAAACCATGAGGCCGAAAGGCCTCATTGGCTATTGATTCAGAGCCATGTGGGCGAGAGCAATGATTGTTTTAGTAAAATCCAACTAGTTGGTCAAAAATATCGAGACAAATAAACTTTAGCTAGCAAAACGTTATTCAGCTGCCATTGTTTTGGTTCTCAAAGCCGGCGCTTTTCGCTACTAGTGGGCTATAACATATAGCCTAGTAGTAGCTCAACCAATTAGAACGCAGCTTTGATAATAAAAACCACTTGTTGGATTTTACTAACCGGAGTTATTTTTTCGCGTTTTTCATTCGAGCGAAGGGAAGCGCGAAGCAAAGGAGGTCTAAAACAACATGGCGACATGCTATAAGAGTGAAAAAAGGGATGAAAAATATCGATATACAACATTCTCGTTCAAAAAGAAGTTTAATGATTTTCTTTCCAAGCAAACTACGTGAGCTAAATCGTCTAAATTGTCAAGTGGCGCTTTCTTTGCACATCTACAAATGAAGATTGTATTTTTCGATCCCTACTAACGGCTCACGCCACAGTTTTAGTTGAACCAGAGTCTTGGCGTTCTCACTCACATACGTAGCGAACCTGTTGAATTCAGCGGACATGAGTTAGTGTCGTCAACCCAAGAAAACAAGGCTTGCTGCCATCAAGCTATTAACAGTACCCATTCCAACAGTCCAAAAGGGATCAAAATCGAGAAAGGATAGTCACATGTACAGCTAGAGAAATCAGTTGTCCGATGTAGATATTTACCCATGTCATTTCTATTTTTTCAATTTTCTGTTCCACACTGATGTAGGGGAGGACGAATGGGGGCGGGGAGCCCGAGGAGAATACAGTGGAGGGATACGGGGGACGGGAAAAGGAAGGGTACCCGGGAGGTGGGGATTGTCAAAGGGAGAAAAGGGGAAGAAATTGGATAAAATTAGGCAACATCGCTTTAATAATAATTGACAATAGAAAAAGGGCTGAAGTGGCCGGGAAAGACAAGAAAAAAGGGAGGCGGAAACTGCAAATACAAGGTGAATGCGACGGGAAGATGGACCCCCTTTGGGTTTCGTGTCAGGGGTTTCTCTATACGTCCTCTTTTTCCCCCTTTCGTCCCTCTCGTCCCCTTTCTCTTAAAAAAAAAAAAAAAGTTACTCATGAGGCTACGTTTCTTCTATTCTTCTTCTGTGACGAACTTGACAATGAGAAAGAAAAAAAGCAATCCCTTTGGAACCAGGCTAAATAAAAGCTAGGCTGACAAAAATTGTTACCTCTAGATATTTGTAAGTTCCAGGGCAAGGACCACCAAACTCGCTGTTGGTTGCCCGTAATGTGCACTGTGAACGTCCCTGACAGTGACCTTGAACTTTGGCAAGTGCTCCATTAGCTTTGCAGGTAGTGGTCTTTATTGCTCCCCAGCCACAGACTTGAGCTCCAGTCAAACGACCGTAGTTTGCAGAAAGGATATTGATCCTCTGGTTATGATGAGCGCAAGAGAGTGTATGTGAATCGCCTTCACAGAATTGCAGCTGCATCTCTCTCGGACAAGCTGCACCTGAAATATGTATAATAAACAATTTATGGACGAGGGAGAGCAAAATATTGCGATTTATCAAATAACCACTGATATACTAGACAAACGAGGCTTGGTTCACACTGTACCTTATCGCGCATGAGCAGAGCATTGTCTGCAGCAGAACAATTAAGAAAAATAGCTTTCGTTTTCTCGATTGCATAATATTAGCAAGAGATTGTCTGAATACACACGCCCTTCCGTTGTCGTCCATAAAACGCACCCTTAATGTCTGTGACTTTTCACTGGTCTATTGACAGATTCCCACCTTTTCAAAGTCGTTGAAAATGTCCATCTGGATGAAAATCGGAGTCGTTCAGTTATCTCAAGTTTATGTTTATGGTCCCATTTTCATTTATGTAGAGAAATTTGACCACCTCCCCCACCTCCTACCCCACCTTATTATCTTAAATAAAATGTAGGAAAATTATTTACCCGCATCACCAAATAAGCCTGGAATGAGAAACAAAACCAATATCCGCAACATGGTTCCCCTTTTGCTGTAGTAGAGTCACTCTGTAAGGACAAGAAAAACCAGTAGTTCACGAGAGTTCACTCATACTTATATGGGCCTCAGCCCTTCCCGGGTGAGTGTGTTATGTATTAAAGGATATTTTGCCTTTGCTAGCTGCGCGATTCACCTCTCAAAGAGTTTAAATTTTTCCTTATTTTTTTTTCTTGAAAGAGAACGCGAATTCATCATACCTGGGATCAATCTTAGCAGCTGGGCACAGAACCTTATATAAAAACAGTAACAGAATATAATGTACAACACCTTATATATTTCACTGCACCAAAATTACCCTATTTTAGTTGCTGCGTCACTAAATAACGCAATTTAATTAAAATAGCTCATTACTAAAAGTCCTTCTTACGAACGCCTTCGTTAACACTTAAAAATTATGTAAAAAGTTTTTGTTGTCTTTTGTGTATGACTTACAGAAGGCTTTCCTAAGATACTTACAGAAGGCTTGTGTAAGACTCTTTATACAAGGCTTGTGTAAGTATCTAACACTTGTATGAAGAGTCCTTACAAAAAAGTCTTGTGTAAGGGTGCTTACACAAGGCTTGTGTAAGAGTCCTTACAGAAGGCTTGTGTAGCTGAGATACTTACAGAAGGCTTGTGTAAGAGTCCTTACAGAAGGCTTGTGTTAGATACTTACAGAAGGCTTGTGTAAGTATCTTACAGAAGGCTTGTGTAAGAGTCTTACAAAACGCCGAAGAAGGCTTACAGAAGGCTTGTGTACGAGTCTTTACACAAGGCTTGCTACAGAAGGCTTATTTGAGATACTTTTAAGATTCATTACTGACGGTTTGTGTAAGAAAGGCTTGTGAATCGCTTAGGGTATTCTTTAAAGACTTGTGAGACTCGTTATACCATGTACAAATGCCTTTGGTATCCATCTTTAAAACCGTTTTTCTACGCCAGTAAAGTAATTGACATTTGGTTTTTGCGATTGTAGTGATAAATGCCACTTGCAGAGCAAGGAGCTGTAGGCGATGATTTGTCAACGATCATTGTTCGCTCCGTCTGAAAGAGTCTTCCTTTTCTTCGTTGACTTTTTTGAGAACCTCCCAAGATAATGATGATTTAGTCGTTTTTTGAATCCTCCCATGCTACCCACAACATTAATGATACGATAATTAATGATAACTAACTAATCTGTAGGTTGCCGTTACTGATGCTACGACTAGCATGAGAAGTGTTAGGAAAACGAAAGCGGTCCTCATGATTAAATCTCGAAGATCAGGTCTAGATAAAAGAAACGCAAAATGTCATTATTAACTAAAAGAGGGTACCACAAAATTATTAAGGACTTGGTAATGTGCCTGCCTTTGCTATATATATCAAAAGGGTGAGTTTAGCTTTTAGTATTAAAAAAGCAGTTACCTGGTTGGAATGAGGCAACTCACTGAAATAGTGTTGATGGAATTCCGTCCACGAACAGAATGGTGTCTTATCTATGAGTCACATGTCTTATAAAGATTTCGTGATCAAGGGCGTGGGAAGCTGTACGCACGTGCGCACGTCGTATCTGATTCCTGGTACTTCAGGATGGGCACTGCTGTTTAAATATCTCTCACACTGGAAGTTTGTTAAATGGGAAAAAGAGCAGAGAATAAAACAAAATGGTTACTGGTGTTTGCAGTGAAATGACAGGATCATCCGCGACTCGTCTGTTCAAGCAGGCAGAAAGGCAAACAACTCAAGCTAGACAAAGTTATGTGAGAACTGTTTTTATTTTTGCCAATCTTAGCGCATTATCACGTATTCAGAAGCAGTTCAAGTTTTAGTTGTTATTTGCTTCGTACCGTTTTTATAAACTGGAAAGTAACATACAATGGTGCGAAATTCCTCGGAATCTTGTTATTAAGCGGTAGAGAATACTTTAACGTTTAATTGTACCTTGTGATTATATTTGAGGGAAATCTTCGTGGGACCAAACTTTCTTTATCGCTTTGGAATAACTGAGATGAACTTTAATTAACAGTTGTATGTGCATTTTGTAAGCAGGGCCGTAGTTAATTACCTGAGGTACCCACGTACGCCTCCTAAAACTAGGAAGAAGGGTAATAAGACCCAAACCAAACGATGGTTTGATCATAGTTGAAAAAGTAAAATCGTTAATAGTTATGTAACTGTTATCAGCCAACAGCTTGATTCGAATTAAGGTATACCCAGATTAGCTACCACGTAGATTTTCATCTATAAAATTAAATAAAGACTCCCTATTTTTCTGAAATTAAAAGCCTTGTTAAACTGGAGAAGAAGGCGGCTGCTCTATATAAACACTTCTTATTGCCTACTGTTTGAAAAAAAGGAATTTCTTAAACCGTTAGTTTTAAAAACGCTTTCGCACGGAATGAGTGAAAACCACATATAACAGATATAGCGTCGGTCGATAGACGGCCTGTTTGGAACATTATTTAACCACAATTTTAGGTTTTATTTTATTTTATTTTCCTTTTTTTTCTTTTCATCTTAGTATTTCGAAGCAGTATTTCGCAGCCAAGCTTAAAATCTAAATGACGTTACCGGCCCCCAGTAGCGCTACTTACGTACTTATGTATCCCGTAATATTAACATATTCTTGTTAACGATATCACAGCCTATATCTATTAAAGGTGAATCTTTTCAAAAAAAGTAAACGCATATAAAATAGAATAAGAGAAAGACGCTAGAGGTGGGGGGTTCCGAGCCAGCCCCCTATTGGTACCGCGGTGGAGGTGCGAGTTTGGGTGTACGTCTGAGGGTTATAATAAGACCATCGTGTGCGATCAAGCACTGTTCATGCGCGCAGAAGTTCAAACAGAATTATTTAACTCAAGGTAAATACAATAATTACTGGCGTTTGAAGTAAAATGAGCGGATCATTGCGTGAGATTAAACACTCACAGTGTTCAAGCAAGCAGAAAAGCAAACAACTCAAGCTAGACAATGTCGTGTGAGAACTGATAGAACTTGAACTTGATAGATAGATAGACACTTCATTAAAATACGTCGCAGCCGTATATGGCTGAACTGTGTATTACATATAAAATTTAAAATGTATTTAAATATAAAAATGGATAAAATAATAGAGGTATAAATACGCTTAAAAATAAGATTTAAGTTGAAAAAGGTACAGTTACCACCTAAGCTACAATTTGAAACACTTATGATCTACAATAAAATTCAAGACATATCAGTGTTGATATAAAGCCATTAAAAAGTTATTCTTGATCCTGTTGGTAGGCCACTGGGACGGGTGTAGGCGCCTTAGGTCGAATTCACGTGGAAAAGAAACACTGGCGGCGAAACTTTTCTCAGTTCATGCTGGCTATCGATCGCTAACTATTCACATACAAGTGCGCTGAACTGGTTCTTCCTTTCTTTTTTTGCAAATGCGTTAGTGAATTGACATGTATTGATCAGTAGCAGTGTATCTTTTTTAAATTGTTCCTAACGGATTGCATATCATATAAAAGTACGAATTTAATTGGGCTTTTATTCTTAAACGATAGAGAACACCTTCACAGCGTGCAATTGTACTTTGTGATTACGGGAAAAATCTTCGCAGATGCAATCTTTTTTTTATCGCACTAGAATTGTAAGTTGGAGCTTCCTATATTTGAAAAGGTGTATTTAGCATAAGCCAAGCCGTGGCTACAAGTAAACATGTACGCATAAGCGATTTTCAAAGTTGGGCTCGTACCGATTAGCCCGAAGTACACAGGTCCAAGGTTGTCATGACTACTCCGTATGTATCCCTTATTTAGATGAGATACGCAACTTAATAATTCACAATCCTTCACTGTCAGTAGCAAAATATCAACTGGAAGTTCTTTTAGTACTTCCTCCCAAAGCTTCGCGTCTTTTGGTCCTGGCAGATCGCTTGTTTTCAACAGACGCTCGGCAGGCAGTTTTGTAGCATCGATCTCGGGTGGGTTACAGTTTCCCGTATCACCAGACAGTCGTCTCCTTTTCATAATCTTTCATCCGCTGCACTAGGCTGTTGTTTGCCTTTGGAATATAAAGACAGAAACAAATTTATTCCATTTTTATTGCTGTACCCACAAAATCAATAATTGTAGGGTCCCAAGCATGAGAACGGGGGGGGGTAGCACACCTCTTACTTTTCCTTTCTCTTTCCCTTTCAGATCCCATTGTCTTCTTGCCTCAATTTTGCCTCAAACATTCAAATCTCACTTCCACATTCATGCTTTCCCAGTCTAAACATTGCCCCCCCGGGAGGGGGGTGGGGGTGCCTTCTTATGAGAGCCTAATGAGGATGTGCCGCTGGATGGGGTCGCATTTTCACGACTGGATTGACTGTAATGGGGTCGCATTTTCAATAGAGTTACTAGAATGGGGTCGCACATTTTCTGAGTTTTGGGGTAATACAGTTCTTTATTTTTAAA